GGCGACGGCGACGGCGACTGTGGCGACAGCGTCGACGGCTCGCACTCTCACACCCGCTCAGCCGCTGTCCCGCTCCCACTCATGCTTGCTCTGGCTGGCGTAGAGAGTGCGCAGCGAAATGCGCCAAACAAAATTTAATAATAATACAGTAACAACAACAAATGTAGTATTTAGCCTTGAAAGTTCGTAAGCACTACGAGCGAAGATCTTTTATTTTATTTGATTTTTGGTGTTGTTTTTTTTTTTCGGACAAAAAGTCACATTAAATACAATTCGAAATGGATCGAAAACAACAACACCAACAACAGCAGATCGAAGAATCGATTCAAAGCAAACTGAACGAAGTTGACGAAGGCCTGCGGACTGCTCTGCATGCAGAATGCTAGTTTGGCAAACTTAACGAGCCTGACGAAAGCCTGTGGACTACTCTGCTTGCACAATGCTAGTTGGCTACGGGAGTCGAAAGTTTCGAGCTCGAATCCCACACAGACGAATATGAGTCGAAACATAAGATACAGCAAATGGATATATTTAATTCGATGTTCCATATTCCAATATTCCTTAGCTGAGCAGCTGCTGGGCCACGGTCACGGTCGCACGCTCTCTTGACTCCCCTCCCCCTGGCTGTTCCTTCCCAATGAGAGTGGCGCTGTGTATGTATTAAATGTTGTGGTTTGCATTAGAAACTTGAGTCTTTCCCACCGTTTGGCCCACCGGCGGGCTCCACTTCGAATGAATTGCCATTGCAATTGTAATGCGATAGTTCTTGAAGAGCGAGGGAGATGGGGCGAGATAGGCAAGGGCGCCAATTGCGAATTTCTTGCTCGTAATGGTAATTAGACGCGAATCACACATACATACATGTACAAGCATACATACATACACAGCACATGCATGTGCAAGTTGAAAGTGCCAAAAGTTGTGCAGGGGAAGGCGAAACTGTTAATCGCGCAGCCTGTTAGTTTATATTTGCTTGTCTCTTCTGTGCATGTATGCAACGAAATGAATAGGCAGATACACACACGCACACACGCATATGCATGTGTGTCTGTTTATTAATTTTGTTGATATTAGTCAGCGTTAGCGTTGGCGTCAGCCTCAGCCTCAGCGTCAGCGTCAACTTTAGCGCAGGAGCTGCGTCGTCGACCGCAACGGAGTTTTGTTCTATGCACAATAGTCACACACACTGCTGGACACAGATGTACACACATATGTAGTGTATAAACTAAGCGCGAGCGTGAGAGAGAGCGCGCCTAAGAAAGAGAGGGTGAGAGATCGAGAGTCAAAAATTTAATACTGGACTGTGCCAAAAACTTTATTTGGCACTGCTTCTATGGTCGTGTGTGTGTGTGTGCGAGAGTGAGTGCGTCGCTGTTGCTGCAGCACTGTGTGAGTGTGTGCGTGTGTGAGCGTGCTTGTGTGTCTGCGTTCAGTCTGGTGTGCCGCTGAGCATGTTTCGTAGTGGTGGGAATTGAAAGCACAAGCGAACACATTCTAATACTCGAGTTCAGGTTCAATTCACTGTGTGCTCCTAGCCCCCTTGCCTCCCCCCACCCTATACACTGCATACATATGTATCTATGTACATACGTATGCATACGCACAGATCAGTGAGCACACATGCATATGCACACACAGACACACACATGCATACATACACATTGACATTCCTGTCCCTGTCTGCCTACCTGACGATCCTAGCATTTGACTGGCTAGGGATGGGGCTGGGATCAGGGGACTGGGACTGGCCAGAACAGCGAACGACGCAACAAAGCGTGCGCACGTTTGTTGTTGTCCCGCTCTCTGTCTCTCTCTCGCACACACACAGGCGCTCTACTGCTGCTGCTGCTGTTGCCAAAATTTCGGTGAATAGTTTAGTGTTTTTTTTTCTTTTTTTTTTTTTGTTTGTTTGTGTGTGCTTTCGACTGCCGTCGCCCCTGTCCCTGCCCAATGCGCTTTTTTGTGCGCTATCGCTGCCGCTGCTGCCGCTGCTGCTGTTGCTGCTGCTGTTGCTGCTGCTGCGCGCAGTTGACGCTGACGTCGCTGCCTGGCTGCCTGAGGCACTCGAGCACTCTCTTCTTCTTTAGCATGAATTCAGTTGAGTTTCTACGCTTGCAATCATCAAACGCAACAAAAAGCCCAACACGCTGGTTGGCCGCCGACTGCTGCTTTCCCAGCGCTCCCGTTCTCAGCGTTTCAGTTCACTGGAAGTGAGCTTCCAGCAGCACAAGACAATTCCAAGTGATCCTGCAAGCGTCGCTAACGCAATGCAGCTCAGCTTCCACCTCGACACCAACACATGCATTCATATGCCTAGATACAATACATGCAACCGTTTATATGTGTAGACATACATGCACACATACATACACACAGCTACATTCGTACTTATGTAGCTGAATAGTTTTTAGTGCGTGTTCGGTCGGTCGTTCGGTTCGGTTCGGTTCGGTAATTAATAAGTGTGTGTTTTTTTACTCTTTTTTTTACATTTTATTTTTACTTGATTGTTTCGTTCAGTGCCAATGTTATTTGCATTTAACGTCTAAGCCAAGATCTCAAGTCAGCAGCGAATAGCATTTCTTAAATTACCATATTACGTATACGCAAACAAATTTCTACCTCAACTCAAACCAAGCCAAAGCAAATACAAAAATAAAATAAATAATACATTAAAAGAAAAAAGGCAAAAAAAAAAAAAAAAACAGAATCTAATACCAATAAAAAACCAACAACAACAAAATGTTTGCTGTGCGACATTCACCTACAACAAATTGCACACATAATAATAATCTATTTCTGTTGGCATTCGCAACACTAATGAACTATTAGAGACATACGTACATATTTACATACACATATACGTGCACAGTTTGTTCGTAGGATGCCAGTGGCTGCGCACCCAGTCGGAAGGTATGTACTCTAAATGATGCAGCCTTTGCATTTAATATAGCACAGAATGTAGGAATGGAGGTGGAGAGCGAAATCGTATATGTATATACATACATATGTACATATGTACGTACATATGCACACTAACACAGTAACTGGGATCGCTGCTATGGTCTATTTTTAGCATGGCTAAAAAGTGCAGCGCACACACTCGTAGGCACGCCTTGACTTATTATCTGATAGTTTTCACTTTCAATGTCACACACTCGCACACATACATATGTATATATGTACATACATATTTATGTATATATGGACAAGCTTTTGTGCGCGTTGTGTGCTTGCTTTACTTTGCCTTGCTCTTCTATCGCACTGAATACACATACATAGACATGTATGTATGTATGCATGCACATGCCTAGCGAGAGAAAGATCGAGCGAGTGTGAGCGGGCGAGCGAGCAAGAAGGAGAAGCATAACTATCCTTTGCTAATTGAGACAAAGACAATGACGAACACACAGAGCAAAAGAAACAGATCAAGCAGCAGAAACCCGAAAAAACGAAATGCGAAATGCGAAGTGCGAAAAGCAAAAAGCGAAAAGCACATCGAAATTTGTGCACTACAAGTGTTTTAGTTATTTGCGATGCGTTTGCTGAATTTTTACCGCTTGGGGTGCTTTTTCGCTGTTGTTGTTGCTGCTGCTGCTGCTGCTGGTGCTGTTGCTGTTGCCGTTGTGGTTACTGTTACTGTTACTGTTACTGTTGTTGTTTATTTTGCAGTCGCTATGAGTGAAAAGAAAACATACAAAATTAAATCGTACTCGTTTTAATTGTATTTTGTCTCTTTCGCTGCTGTCGCGTCTTCTGCAGTTGCTTGGTTAGTTTTTTATGGATTGTTCTTTGATTTAGTTTTTTATTTTTGCTTCATTTTTGTTTCTATGTCACACAAATTGTCGCCGTGGTTTGGATAAATTTTTAAAGTGCATTTGTTAACAATTTTCGAACATTTATGCAAAATGTTGCATTTGTTGCACTTTGCCGCAGCGTAAAATATTAAACAAGCAGCAAAAAAGCTTACCCCGTCTCTCACTCACACTCTCTCTACCTCGCCCTCTCCCTCTCCCTCTCCCTCTCTCTCCCACTCGCGCACGATTGCCGGCAAATGTGAATGCGATTGTGTGTGTGCGAGTGTGAGGGAAAGACAAAATCAACGAATGCGCAAAAATACAGTTTTGGCTATCAAAACAAGTCAAACGAGTTGTATATAGAATAATATAATTAACTTATACTTTTGACACTAAAATTTATGCGATTTAATCACAATTATAATGCTTAGACAATGTAAATATAAAATGTCGATTCAAAAAATGAAAAACAAATTCATAAAAATTCGATTAAATAATTCAACTCTTACTATGTATATAAACAAATATGTATTTATATAAAAGGTGCCCATAAAAGTAGAGGAAAGTGATGGAAATAATTTGAAAGCTCTCTATGTATATATGTACATACATACATACATATGTAAATTGTTGAGAATTAATAATAATGCCAATATCAAACAAAATATAAAGAAATGCATATGTAATCTACTGTAAATGTCAATTTTATTATGTGCATACTTACTTAAAGCAACATTTATATACAAATGTCACAGATAAAGAAATAAATATTAAAACTGGTTATTTTCAAAGTAAATACAAAAATTAAATAATGAAATGAAATAAAATAAAAGCATGATTATTAAAATATAATATGTAGATTTCTAGCTTAATGAATTTACATTCCAAGCGAATTACTAATCTAATTCTTCATTCCTCTCTCTCTCTCTCTCTCTCTCTCTCCCTGTCTTTGTCTATTTGCAGTTAATTAATTATTAGTGAAATAGTCAAAGTGATCATCATCAGCAACAGCATTAGCATCAGCATCATCATCGTTGGATTCGACAAACGGAGCAACCACAACAACAACAACAACATCAGCAAAGTCGCCAAGCAGTGCATGCGTGCGTGTGTCTGCGTGCGTGTGTGTGTGCGCATGTGAGCAGCAAACGCAGCAGCAGCAGCAGCAGCGAGCACAGCACAATTTTTTTTCTCTCGGTGCAATAAAAAGCCGCCAAAATACGCAAAAAGGTGACCACGAAGAAAGCCAGCGTTGTTTCCACAGTTGACGAAGATAACAACAATACCAACAACAACAATAACAATAGCAACAACTACAACTACAACAACGCTAGGCAGCTAAAGACAGCAACAACAACAACAACAGCAACAACAGCAACCCCAACAACAACTAGAATCCCAACTCCAATTGCAACAACAGGCACAGCCACGGCTACAGTCGAGCTGAATAACCGTTACGCAGCAGCAGCAATCGAAGAGGAAGAGGAAGAAGACGAACAAATCAACATGGACGAAACACAGCATTTCTGTCTGCGATGGAACAACTATCAGAGCAGCATCACATCGGCATTCGAGAATCTTCGCGACGACGAGGACTTTGTCGACGTGACGCTCGCCTGCGAGGGACGGAGCATAAAGGCCCATCGCGTCGTCCTCTCCGCATGCAGCCCCTACTTCCGCGATCTGCTGAAGGTGAGTTGGCATCCATTTCTAATAGTGCGAGCATATCACTCATCAAGGATCACTCTTGGGAGAGAATCCGAACCACTATGTATTCATACACATATGTACATACATATGTATGTATGACTATTCGCCTATAAAAATTGCCCAAAGCATTTCACAATTCTGAACGCGCTCGAGCTCCCCCATAAAGATAAGCAAATATATCATCTAACTGATTCGAGTTCATTGAAACTGTGAGATAAATTGCACTTGGCTATGTATGAGTACCATATTTAGCTAGATAGAATTGCAATAGATTGTGAATTGTGATAATTTGAGGAAAACTTTTCAGTACCAGCTGGAGCTGTAGCTCTACTGAAACCCGATGAGTGTTTCATTCTAGTCTCTCTCAGTGGGAATGGGCTGATCCTTTGATCTTATCTTAGCTCAAATGAATTCTTCAGTTGGGTGCAGATCTGGCAGCACTGCAAGCGTATATATGTATGTATGTATGTATATTCATTTCTTCATTGATTTGTCAATTGTTTTGCATTGCCTTCTTTGGCATATCGTTGCTTGGGGTGCCATGGAGCAAGATCTGTTTGGATCTGCTGCCAGAGTCTGAGTTTCTTTCCTTATTATTTAGTTTTTTTTCTTTTTTTTGCTTTATGCGTTTCGCAACTTGAAATAAATTTTGGTGACCTACTTAGGCCAGACAATAAGCAAGATAAGGAGTGCAGAGATAGAGAAAGAGAGAGAGAGAGAGAGAGAGAGAGAGAGAGAGAGAGAGAGAGAG